AATAATACCAAGATGTCATTAGCCTTTTTAACTCTCATTCTTTCACAAGTGTACAGTGGAGTTTCCCAGAGGCTATCTGACTTGTGACATGTGATATTGCAGCAGACTGAGAGCAGAAGCAGGTATGGGGATCTGGCTGTCTTTTATTAAGCCAAACACTAAGGGGATTTGAAAAAATGTAAAGCAATGCCACTAGAATTATTTTTGTTTTGGAAGGATTAACTATGTTTTATTTTTAAATCATATGTTAACATATAATGGGTCTTTTATTGTTCTTATATGAATTAATAAATACTTCTAAATATTTCAGTTTTAATTTCTAATGTGGTAAATATTACTAGATATACATACAAACAAGGGCTCTTTGGGGTCCTTAATAATATTTTAAGAGTATAAAGGAGCACATCCGAGACCAAAAAGTTGGAAAATTGCTGTTACAGGTCGTATTCTTTTATCATCATTCCTGCTCAAATAAATGGCAACTGACATTTAGAGAGTGCTGTGTGCAGAAGGGGCATCATGCTAAGTGCCCGAGAGTCACTTTTCCTCTAACTTTTATGATACTCTTGTAAGCAGGTATGATCAGCTCCACATGCAGGAGAGTAAGCTGAGGCTTGGAGCAGCTAGGTAGAGGATCAGGGACACACATCCAGCAAGGGAAGCCATCCCAGCTACTGTCCTCCCATCCTCTCCAGTTTTCATCTTAGTCATTCTCTGAGTCAGCCAACTTGAAGCCATCTATACTTCTTTGACTCCTTCCTCTCCTTTTTTCTTGAAATTATCTCTATTTCCTTCGGAAAGCAGCAGAGGAACTCAAGGCTTGGACACTGGGTTCCTGGAGCTGCAGCAGCCAATAAGCACGGCGAGGTCCCAGGCTTCCAGGCAATAGACTCAGGAGTCAAGGGGGATGTGCAAGAGGAAACTCAGGAAACAGACCCTCCAAAACTGCAGCGATGGGGTAATAATAACAGTAACATTTATTGGGCGCTTACCATGGGAAAGGCACTATTTTAAATACTTTGTGGGTATTAACTTATTTAATCCTCATCTGAACCCAGTGAGATAAGTACTTGTCTTACACATGGGGAAACTGGAGGTCAGAAGTCTGAAGTGGACTTCACTGGGCCAAAATCAAGGGCTGTTGGCAGGGCCGTGCTTTCTTTGGAAACTCTAGAGAACAATCTGTGTCCTTGCTTTTCTGGCTTCTAGAGATTACCTACACTCTTTTGGTTCGTGGCTCCTTCCTCTAGCTTCAAAGCCAGTAGCACAGCATTGCTTCTCTCACTTTGTTTTTTGTTTTTCTTTTTGTTTTTGAGACAGGGTCTCACTCTGTCACTTAGGCGGGAATGCAGTGGCACAATCTTGACTCACTGCAACCTCCACCTCGCAGGTTCAAGCAATCCTCCCACCTCAGCCTCCCAAGAGGCTGGAACTACAGGTGCCACTACACCCAGATAATTTTTGTATTTTTTGTAGAGATGGGGTTTCGCCATGTTGCCCAAGCTGGTCTTGAACTGCTGGGCTCCAGTGATCCTCCCACCTCAGCCTCCCAAAGTGCTGAGATTATAGGCGTGAGCCACTGCACCCAGCCAGCATTCCCTCTCTGACGCCTGTGTCTGTCCTTAAATCTCCTCCCTCCTCCAACGCAATGCCTTCCTCTTATAAGAACCCTTGTGATTCCATGTGTCCCACCTGGACAATCCAAGCTATTTGCTCATCTCAAGATCCTTAACTTGAACACATTTGCAAAGTGTCTTTTGCCATGTTAGGTAACATATTCACCGGTTCTGGGGATTAGGATGTGGACATCCTGGGTTGGGGGTGGAGAGAGCATTATTCAGTCATTTAACTAATCCTGGCTGATATTTATTGACAGTCTACCATGTACACCCTTCTAGGCACTAGGGAGGTAGTGATAAATAAGATCTGAAGACTGCAGAGGAGTCAACCAAGTGAAACAGCATGAGGGAAAATTTGTGCTCTAGGCAGAAAGAGCAGCATAGACCCAGCAGGTCCCTCCAGAGCATGGGATTCAGCCTGTCTATAAAGAAGCGGCTAGCCCTGGCTGCATATTAGGATCCGCTGGGGAGATTCTTTACCAATGCCTCTTCTGCCCCTGTCCCTGCTCGCAAGTTTTGACATCAGAGATGGGATCTGGACAGCTATCTGGTATTCTAACATGTAGCCAGGAGAAAAATCACTGATCATCAGAGTGGCTTGAAAGGACACAGGAGCCTAAGGCCAGGCGCAGTGGCTCACACTTGTAATCCCAGCACTTTGGGAGGCCAAGGAGGGCAGACCACTTCAGGTCAGTAGTTCAAGACCAGCCTCGACAACATGGCAAAAACCCGTCTCTTCTAAAAATACAAAAATTAGCCATGCATGGTGGCTCACACCTGCAGTCCCAGCTACTCAGGAGGTTGAGGGACAAGAATCACTTGAACCTTAGGTGGCAAAGGTTGCAGTTAGCCGAGATTGCTCCACTGCACTCCAGCCTGGGCAACAGAGTGAGACTCCATCTCAAGGGCACCGGTGCCTAGACATGGGGCTGGAGAGAAAAGCAAGAGCCAGCTCATGAAAAATCTTGTAACCCAAGAATATAGCTCTTACCCGAAGGGTTTAATCAAAGGGGCAACATGATCAGGTTTGTTCTCTACAAAGACCCTCTTACTGCACAATGTGAAGAGAGTGGAGGAGGGCAAGGGAGAAACCAGAAAATGATGGAGACTGGATTTAGCATAGATCTAGTGGGAATGGATGAAGTCAAGTCACAGACAGGCAGGAAGCAAAGATAGGAATGGTTTCTGGAATGCCTAGAATTATTGCCACAGCCTCCTAACTGGATTTCCCAACCCCATGCTTTTTTCCTTCTGATCAACCCTGTGCATCACCAGCAAATTTACTCATCCTGAAATACCACTTATTGTATTAAGGAGTACTAGGCAGCCTAGTAATTAAGTGTATTTGCCCTTGGACCAAACAGCCTGGATTCAAATCCTACCTCAGCCACTTTACTGTGCCCCATTTCTTCATCCATAACATGTGATACCAAAAATAGTGTTTATATCACAGGGTTGCTTTGAGTCATTGTAGGAGCACTTCTATAATTACCTGTGTATGGTAATCATTTCAAAAAAATTCATTATTGAAACATTTTCAATATAAAACCTGCTGTTTTCCATTTACCGGAATGCCAAGGTCTGCTTGTCCAGATTCTCACCCTTTGGGTCCACCCTGCTACTCAGCCTTGTTGTAATTCTGTCCCCAAAATATGTCATACAAACACACCAGATACTGCACCTTTATGCCTGGGTCGTGCTGCTTTCCTCATTTTGAATGCCTTTATTTTTCCCTGCTACCCTCCCCAATCCTTCTGTCCCTTAAATGCTTATCATTACTTCCAGAAAAGTGACTCCCAATGCAGTGACTGGTGACCATATGACCATACCCGGTATAATCATCTTCCCCCAAGGAGCACTGCCTGTCATTCCTACCAGGAGGCTATCATTCCAAATAACTCACAAAGTCACTCACGCTCGTAACTGTCACTGCTATCTAAATGCTAAGCACTCACAGAAGGCCCAGAGCATAAACTTGTCTTTCCCATGCTTTGTGGAGCACCATGGATGCCCCCAGAAGCCCATAAATAAAAAACAACTTTGCTACGAGTTAAGTTTTCATGAGGACTGTCAGCTGTGAAATATTTAGAGGCTTTCTTGGCTTATTAAACCAAACCAATGTTGTGTATTACAAAGAGATAGGACCAAAAATACATGAATTAATTGACCAAAATATATTTTAGCATTTGTCCTTACAGGAGAAACGAAGTCCTACCCCAAGCAGGACTTCACGAAGCATGCATGTCCTTGTTTGCCTCTCGTCCTTTCATTTTTACAGATTTCTTGAGGCATGGATGACACACAATAGACTATGCAATATTAAACTGCACAATTTGATAAATCTCATGTCCTTTTAACCACAAAGCTTTATAACAACCAGCATTTATATTAGACTACTTAAAATTATCTTCTATTTTCAAACATGAGAGTGTAATATTAAAATCCGAGTTTGCCTACAATAAGCCTTCCATACCTATAAGTTACTAAAAATTTCCCTTGGCTGGGAAAATGTGTTCCAGAATTTGAAATTCAGAAACCAAAAGGATTTTTCGTTTCAATGAAAAATGATAGGCACAGTGGCTCATACCTGTAATCCCAACATTTCGGGAGCCCAAGGCAGGTGGATTGCTTGAAGCCAGAAATTCAAGACTAGCCTGGGCAACATAGCAAGATCCCCATCTCTACAAAAAAAAATGTTAGAAAATTAACTGAGCGTGGTGACATGTGCCTGTAGTAATGGCTACTTGAGAAGCTAAAGTGGGAGGATCCCTTGAACCCAAAAGTCTGAAGCAGCAGTGAGTATGGAGTATGATTGCATCACTGCACTGCAGCCTGGGTGACACAGTGAAACCTTGTCTCAAAAAAGAAATGAAAAGAGACAGTGGGACGTCCGGCTTCTGAGCAGTAACCTTTGTTGCGCTAAAGACGAAAAAGAATTAAATATGGGTGATGATGAGAAAGGCAAGAGGATTTTTATTCAGAAGTGTTCCCAATGTCACACCGTGGAAAAGGAAGGCAAGCACAAGACTGGACCTAATCTCCATGGTATCTTTGGGCGGAAGACAGGTCAGGCCTCTGGATTCACTTACACTGAAGCCAATAAGAACAAAGGCATCATCTGGGGAGATGTACACTGATGGAATATTTGGAGAATCCCAAGAAGTATATCCCTGGAACAAAAATGATCTTTGTCGGCATTAAGAAGGGAGAAAGGGAAGACTTAATAGCTAATCTCAAAAAAGCTACTAATGAGTAATAATTGGCCACTGCCTTATTTATTACAAAACAAATGTCTCATGACTTTTTTATGTGTACCATACTTTAATAGATCTCATACCACCAGAATTTACATCATGAATGACAGAATATTTTGTTGGGCAGTCCTGATTTAAAGCTAAGACTGGCTTGTGGTTAAATGAGTATGTTCAGTTTTTGGATTTTAATAGTAATTCCAATTTAGTAAATTCTATCACTGTTTACCCCTTCTAAAGATATGATTAGACTTCATTAGTAATGTTAAATTTTTCGCAAAGATGGTGAGTGCCATCTTAAAACTTACTGGAGATTGGTTTTATATTTAGATTTATATAACTGGTTATGTGAATATATTTAAATATGGGGGAAATTCCTTCACTGTCTCAGAACCAAGGAAGATTCACCTGTGTTTTGTGTTCATTTGCCTCTTAAAGGCAAGGGTTGAAGATAAATGGGTAGCAATGGCTATTTTATATTTTTGGCCTTAACTATGCCCATCTAATTAGAATTTCCTGTATTTAAAATGGTTCCTTTTACTTATTGAAAGGCATTTTGTGTGGTTTATGTGTAATATCAAAAATTATTTAACACTTCACACATTTTATAGATGATCTATAAGGTCACATGCTTTTAAAATAGTAGCCAATTAAACTTCACTCTTGGATTCTTTACAATCTAAGTCAAACTAAGTTATAATTTAGGATTGTCTTTAAACAGCCATTCAGAAACAAAACTGTACAACTGCTATGTATTTGTGATTGGGAATGGTGCTTTTGCCAACTTAAAATGATTAAAGTAGAGGAGATGTACACAAATTTAAAAATGATGTGTGATCATAAGACTTAAGATAATTAAAAAGAAAACCACAGATCATAAAAAAAAAAAAGAAAGAAAGAAATGAAAAGAAAAAAAAAATGATCATTTTGAATTTTAAACCAAGACATTACAGGCACCCAATTTAATTTTTTCTGGAAATAAAAGATTTTCTGTAAATTGGGCCTCTTATTAACTATCATCTGTCTATAGATTGAACTCAGTTTGGTAGAGATTGTTTAGAGACAGATGTTAACTTCTGTCTTCTCAGGGAGGTTGAGAGTGAGAGAGTGCATTGAAGTAGCCCCATGCCTGAGACTCAGGCAAATGTTCAGAGTGAGGCTGAATGCTCACTTCTCATCCATTCATTCAACCAGTATTTACTGGCCCCTGCATTTTACTGGGCTAGGTGGCACCCCACCAGTAGCTTACACACTATTTTGAGAGATAAGATACAAATTGTCAACCCCTGCAGTGACCCAGCAGGCAGCTGCAGCCTGCTCTGGACCTGAACTAGCCCTGACTAGCATGACTTTATCAATGTAGGAAGCCAGCTGCAGGTGGCTGGGAAGGGGGTGTCGGTGGTGGCGGGGGACCCAAAGTACTACATACACACTTCCCCTGCCCTGCTGTGATGGCCCAGTCTATGTGGTTTGGTTTCCGAGTCTGTTTCCTAGACTCTCAACTTCTTGGTATTTTTTCCTGAGAATATTCCTACTGGAACTGAAATCTTTTCCAGAATCCTTGCCTGTCAGATGAGTCCCAATTGTCAGTGCCATTCCCCAGGAGCTGGCCTTTATTTCCTAAGCCCATAGCTGCTGGCTAATGTTCAGCCTGTCTATAAAGCAGTGGCTAGCCCCAGCTACATATTAGGATCAGCTGGGGGAGATTCTTTTCCAAAGCCTCATCTGCCCCTGCCCCTGCCTCCAAGTTGTGACATCAGAGGTGGGACGTGGACATCTATCTAGTGTTCTAATGTGCAGCCAGAAGAATCACTGATCAGGAGAGTGGCATGAACAGACACAGGTGCCTAAGACTGGGCGCAGTGGCTCATGCCTGTAATCCCAGCACTTTGGGAGGCCAAGGCAGACAGATCACTTGAGGTCAGGAGTTTGAGACCAGCCTGGCCAACATGGTGAAATTCCATCACTTCAAAAAACATAAAAATTAGCCAGGCATGGTGGCACTGCTTTGAGTGGAGTTTGTATCCAAAATCCATGCAACTGTAAATGGACGTTGTATCCAAACTTGCCTGACCATTAAATGTCACCATGGGCCTTCATCAAAATTACAGATTCCTAGAACCCAACCCAAGACTATCTGGGGAAGAGACAGCTTCCCAGATGAGGAAACTGAGGTTCAGAGAGATTAAAGTACAGGCTCAAGTCCACACATGTGAGTGAAGAACCAGGAATTGAACCCGGATCTGCTCAGTCCCATCTTCTTGTATGTTAAAATGAGACAAATGGGAGGGTGTGGAGCCATATTTGCCTCTGCCTACTCCCGTGCCTCAATCAGAGCATTTTTATTCCATTTCCTAGAGTCATACACTTCTGCAGATTCCTTCAATAATGTAATCCCTCCCCCCGTCATAAACTCAAATGCCACCAGTAGACAAATAGGCACAGCCAATGATTGAAGCAGGCTGGGTAGCAGGCACATGCAGCATTCCAGAGACTCTGGAAAACCAAGAATCCTTCCCTTTCCAAGGAGGCAGCCGCTACTCAGCTCCTACCAGCTGTTTCCCATGAGAATGTGTACCCAGCTTTGCCTAAAATATTGAGATTTTCAGGTGAAATCTCAAAATGCCACTCCTGTGATTACATCATACCATGTAACACTCCATCTTAGAGACTGGAGAGAGAGAATCTACAGCTGGCCTTGAAAAAGCAAGTGGCTGTGATGTGAACTGTGTATAAGGAAGGCTGCGTGGCAGGGAATTACAGGTGGCCTCTAGGAGATGTCAGCCTCAGTCCCACAACCCAAAGGAACTGAATTCTGCCCGACAACCATGTGAGCCTAGAAGGGGATCCCGAGTTCCAGCCCAGCGAGCAATTATTTTTTTGAGACGAAATCTCGCTCTGTTGCCAGGCTAGAGTGTAGTGGCGCAATCTTGGCTCACTGCAACCTCCGCCTCCCAAGTTCAAGCAATTCTCCTGCCTCAGCCTCCCCAGTAGCTGGGATTACAGGCATCCATCACCCCACCCAACTAATTTTTGTATTTTTAGTTAAGACGAGGCTTCATCATCTTGACCAGGATGGCCTCAATCTCTTGACCTTGTGATTTGCCCGCCTCAGCCTCCCAAAGTGCTGAGATTATAGGCGTGAGCCACCGTGCTGGCCCCAGGCAGCATTTTTATCTCAGCCTTATGAGACCATGAGCAGAGGACCCAGATAAGCCACACCCACAGAAGCTATAAGATAATAACTGGGTGTTTTTTTAAGCCACTAAGATTGTGATAATTTGTTACACAGCAAGAGGAAACCAATGCACCCTGCTCAGCTTGCCCTTCTCAGACAGTGCCTTGAACTCCAGAGGTTCTTCTCCCCATTTACCATCATTAATTCCATCCCTACCTGCCCTGATCTCAGCAGACTATCAAGAGAGTATTTAATTTGACAAACTGACTTACCACTGATGATTTACCTACCCCTCCTATGGATTCTTTGCATTTTTAAGAGAGAACTTAGAGAGGCACTGGCTAAAGCAGAGGAATGATTGGTAAAAATGATGGAGTTTCAGAAAATCATGCAGAAAAGTAAACGTAATCTGGTGCCTGCAGATTGTCCCACTGGGCCTCAAGCCATGGTCTTTACCATGAAATAAGATCAGCCCAGCCAAGAAAACACTCTAAACAGTGGGACTGAGGGTTAGAAAATGGGTTGACACTTTTTAGGAAAATTTATTGAGAAAAGGCTCCATTTTCTTCTCTGTAAAATGGGGTGAGACCTCCCCTGCCCCTGTGACTGGACTGTTGTAAAGATTATGCAAGTCAATGTATATGAAAGCACTCTGTAGGTAAAAGCTATTTTCAAAAAAATCATTGAAGTGCGGAAGCAATCACAGATCATTTAAGCCAACAGGATCGCAGGCACACATTCTGATTTCAGCCCTGCAGTCTGAGTACCGACCTTGCCCCTGTCTGTTGGCAGGCTGCTGTTCCCTTGTCACCTCTCAGTTTCAGCCAGAGGCTGACATTCACTTCTCCCAGCATCCATGCAGCTGGCAAAGGCCAGGAGGGATTGAAATATGCTCCTCTCACATACAGCAGCCTCATTAACCAAGCAGGAAAAGCGGCCCAGAAGCCAACACAGATGTCTAGAGGTGTCCCCAGAAACCAGACCAAAACAGCCCAATAATAACCCCCAAGCTCCAAATAGGAAATCACCCCTAGTGAGAATTAGAGCACTAAGTCCTTCAAACCCAAGCAGCCAAGCCCCTGAGAGTCCCAGAACAGTGTCTCATCCAACAGGGCTCCACCATGTCCAAATCCATATCTCCAATGGCAGGAGCAAGTGACCACTTTGCTCTGATGTCTATATGGCATATAGTGAGACCCACATTAGACAAGCAGTTTTAATGCATTTAAATGGACAAAAAAAAAAAAAAGAGTAGGGAGGAAGAGAAGAGGAAGGTTTATTCATCTTAATATATTTTAGCAAACTTTTAAAAGTTCATGAGAATAAATAAGTACTTCTAATTTTAAAGCCAGATGTTGAAGTCAAGGATCACATGATGGATTAGAGGAGGGAAAGAAACTCTCATTCTATAATATCCCTATTTAACAGATGAAGGAACCAGTGTGGCAAAGTTAAGCAATTTATACAAGCTCAGACTAGCAAATGTCAGAGCTGGCTTTTCAAGCCAGTGATGTCTGCCTCCAGGGCCTGTTCTCTTAACCATTATGTCTTCTTGCCCCTCAAAATGGATATTCAAAACTCTGCCACTACTCCCCAGAAGAGCCAAGAAGGCCAACCACAAATCCATCCCAGCTACAAGTTCATGGTACTCCCTTCTCCCACACTTCCTCATCTAAAAGCCTTGTCAAACATGCCTGGAGAGGTGATTCTCTTCCTAACCTCCCCAAACCTCACAATCACCCTCCTCTCTTCAGAGAAGAGATAATAAGTTCCACACAATCGCTGTTAATATTCATTGGTACTTTTTCTTCTTTAGAAATAAAATATTAATAATATACTCAGGTCCTAAAACAGTACATGTGCTTTAAAATTTTTGGAAAGTAAGAATCCTCTTTATTGGAGATAATCTAGATAATTCCATTTCCCCTACAGCTTGGTGCCAAGCAAACAAATGGATATAGCTCTAGAATTCAAAGAAGAAATAGTTTCATTTCCCTGGAATAATTTTATATTCTTGTGGTATTTTGGCCAGGCTACAGCAAATTTTAATTGTTTGGCATTCTCTTTAAAGACTTCAAATTAGTAAGCAATAGAAAATCCAGAGCTAATAAGTTCACAGCAGCATTTAAGAAAGAAGCATGAGTTTAAAATGATCAAATGATTGTAACCTGACAAAAATTAATATTCAGTGCATTTGGAGAATGTGAAGTTTAGGTTAAAATGACAGTGAAAGGAATAATTGGAACAATGATAACCTCTGTGTGGCAGAGTAGATAGATAATCACTTAGATGGGCATTTGGAAGCCCCAAAAAAGGTGCTACATTCTCAAAGCTGCTCTTCCACAAAGCAGACCTAGTCCTTTATGCCATGGAGAGCTTTCTGGAGCACAGTTTGGAGGTATACCTAATTATAAAGAAGGAAGAGATGATGGAAGCAAAGGAAGGAGGATAGGAAGGAAGACATGAGGGGAGGAAGAAGAAAAGAGGAAAAAGAAAAAGCAAACATGTAGACTCTGAGTTAAATCCAACATGGGCAAGTAAAATCTATACAACAACAAAAAGATTTTCAAGTTTCTAGATATGAAATCTTATGATATCTAGGTATTAAAAACACACATGCAAAAGAATACTGGGTAATATATTAGAATTACTGGTATTAAAATTCAACCTGTAGTTCAGGAGATAATAACAGCAATGTTG